CCGGCTCCTCTCGGGTGCGCCAGAACTTCCACCCCGACTCTGAGGCTGCCATCAACCGCCAGATCAACCTCGAGCTCTATGCGTCCTACGTGTACTTGTCCATGGCCTATTACTTCTCCCGGGATGACGTGGCCTTGAACAACTTCGCCAGGTATTTCCTTCACCAGTCCCGAGAGGAGACAGAGCACGCGGAGAAGCTGATGAGGCTGCAGAACCAGCGAGGAGGCCGGATCTGCCTGCAGGACATCAAGAAGCCGGACCAGGACGACTGGAAAAGCGGGCTGCATGCCATGGAGTGTGCTCTACTCTTGGAAAAGAATGTGAACCAGTCGTTGCTGGAATTGCACACTCTAGCCTCTGACAAAGGTGACCCCCATTTGTGCGACTTCCTGGAAACCTACTACCTGAATGAGCAGGTGAAGTCTATCAAAGAACTAGGTGACCACGTGCACAACTTAGTGAAGCTGGGGGCCCCGGATGCTGGCCTGGCGGAGTACCTTTTTGACATACATTCCCTTGGAAATGAAAACAAGCAGAACTAAGCAACGGGCTGCCTTCCTCCCACGTCATTGGGTTCAAAGACCAGAGTCAGCTGTCTCCTGCTTTCTTGCCCTTAAAATCACCTCCATCTTTATATTTTTCTGTTATACTATTCTTGCAATAAAGTGATTTGTAGAAAAAAAAAGTTTTGCCCATGTTTAACAAGGACTTTTTATTAACCATCAAGACACTTATTTTCCCAGCTCAAAGAATAGCCCAGATAACTATGGTATGAAAAGGACTCCAAAAAGCTACTGAAAGAGGGTGCAAACTAACGTTCTCCAGTTGCCAAGTATTATCAGAATATGAACCTACACTTAAATTCTGTGATTTTTAATTCAACAAGTGCCTGCTATATTCAATACCTTATGCAAAACGCTAAAGTGGGAAAATGGATAAAAATATACAAATAACTATAAGTGAAGAATATTTAGTACTGTGAATATCATACATGCAAAATGCTATGACAGCTTTTGCCTTTTCCCATGGTGTCCCAAGAAGCAGTACAGTCTGGAGATTGTTTTTTAAAAGAATTCATTGTCAAATTTGGGATAAGCTACATGAATTATCAGTGCTGGTCTTGGAAAATCACAGCATATATTAACATTTTAAGGGCTCTGGGACATTTTGCAATTAAACAATAAATATAAAAGCTTGAATTATTTTTGTTTAGCTCAGTGTTTTCCAAACATATGCAATCTCAGTGTTTTGTTCTTTTAATGTCAGTAGTATAACAAACTAGATCTGATTCCACACTCCATATACTTCACCACTGAGTCTCTCTTTTAACCTGCCAAGAAGAGTGAAAACACTGCATAAAACACCTTTCTGTGGTCTTTACAATGGACAGAAAAGAACATGGGGGTTAAACAAAAGTCAAGAAGGGATCCAGAATAAAGGAGGCATCTAGTCAGATGTTTTCTTTAGTCATGGAAGTGAGGAGGGGAGAGTCCAGCATTGGAATAGACTAGAACACTGAGTGGTGATTGGAAAGATGGGCTGGGGCAGAGTATAGAGGTGAGAAGGGTTTGGGCTTAACTCAGGGGACAAAGGCAAGGACTTCAAAGGCTCTCAACAGAAGAAAACAGTGCTCGAAGTTGAGCAATCTGAAGCTTAGTCTGGTTATACAGATTAAGAATCTGAAAACAACCGAAATATCCCTGTTAGTTTGGGTTTTCTGAGACACAGATGCCAAAATGGGATTATGTGTACAAGAAATTAGGGGAAACAGACCTCTGAGAGAAAATGGAACAGGAGCAAGTGGGAGAAGCAGGGAGAACCTTCAGACTTCATGCAAATGTAATCCCCGGGGGATGAAGAAGGGAAGTTGTGCATATTTCTTTGGAAAGGTCTGCAAGACTGTCAGGGAGGCCTCAAGTCAAAGTCACTAGTCAAAGGAATCCCAAGTCTCCCAGAAATGAGCCTAAGTACCTTTCCTGTATTTAGGTATTGACTGGGAGGTATAGACTTGCAGCAAACGAAGAAATGAATCAATTTCAGAGAATGGCAGCTGAGGCTCTTGGCAAATTGTGCTCCCTGCAGTCCAAAACCTGAGAGGTACTTGCATATTATGGCACAAGTTCAACAAAATGACTTAGATTAAAACACCAAACAGTGTTTTAGATTAATACACATAATATTCTGCAGTTATTGTTAAATATGATTTTGTACAAACACCTTATGGTATGCATAGAAATTCTGAATGTATTATGTTAACAATGAGGAATATTACACGATGGGGTTGTATAATTCTATATGTACAATTGTAAGACAAATTATATTATATATGCATATAAAATGACAAAGTATATATACCAACAAGCAAAGCTAGAAAATTCTTTTAAATAGTGAGATTGTGGTTGATATTTATTTTCTTTAATTACATGTCTTTTAAAAATACATTTGTTATAATGGACAGTCATTATTATAATAAGACAAGAAAAGCAAAATATAAGATGGAGGGAAAAGCAATAAAGGCCAGAATTATGGTAAAACCAATGGAAAGACAAACAAAGAGATTCTGGTGAGAGTTTAGAGGCAGAATCATTTCAATTTTGTGACCAATTTAATGACTGGAGCTAAAGAAATGAGGTATGGGAGAAAAAGTGATAGGTCTGAAATTCGAGTTATTAAAGAATAGGAGATTTGAGAATAGAGATCTCAGCAGGAGGGATAATTGGAGGTGGGGGAATGCATAATAATTTTGGTTGATTTTGTTGATCATTCTCACTTTACATTCTATTCTTAAGTGGGTCTATTTTGCTGCTCAGGAATCCTGTTATATTTCTATACAAAATCTCTTCAAGTTTTCCAGATGAGTGGTTTTCAAACTATACCTTGCAGCCCATTAGTGTGTCACAAAATTATTTACTGAGTCACTATCCATGTTTTGTGAATAAAATAGAGTAGAATTGAAGTGACAGTAAGTGAAGTAAAGGTATTGTTTCCTGAAACTCTTGTTTCAGGTGGTGTGTGTGTGTGTGTGTGTGTGTGTGTGTGTTCTCATGTATTTACATCCTGGATAGTGATATTTCTTATTCTGTGTTTCTGTCAAAAACTTTCAATAGCTGCTCTCCTAGATAATTATTTTACAGATTCTCTTTTCTCCTCAAATCTCCAAATCTTCTCTCCCTCCCTACTGTCAGTTGGTAATCCACTTATTTCACTGAGAATTAGAAATACTAAAAGAGAACTTCACACTTTTTCATCATTGAATTAATCATAAGCTTACATCTGTGTTCACTTAGATTTTGTTCTGCTAGAATGGTTGTTGCATCAATGTTGCCTCCTTAAAACCAATGCCCTCAATCCTAACCTCCCCACATAGGCAAAGACACAAGGATATCACACCTATGGTTTTCCTCTCTTGCAGCAGCAGCTTTGCCCTCTTTATCACTTGGTCCCATGAGAATGCAAACACTGTATTATTTCTCCTCATCCTTAAAAAAAATGTCACTTCTAGACTCACATTCCATCCAGCAAACACCAGGCTACTCCTCTTTACTCATCTCCCTTGTACAACAAAACTTCTTGAAAAAGTTCTTCCTGTCTCCACCTTTTATTCTGCTTTCTCTTGATCCCTCCCAAGGAAGCCTGTGTCCACTACTACACTATTTATTTCCTGTCAATAAAAATAGTGACTTTCACGTTAATAAACTCAATGGTCAATTTCCCAGTCTTCCTAGAAGTACTTGTCCATTCTTTGTTGAAACATGTGCTTACTGTTCTGTATTTCAGTTGCTCTTTCTAATCTCTTCCCATCTCTCTGACCTTTAAAGCTTGGAGCGTCCCAGAGCTCAGTCCTCACATCTGGACTTCTTCTCTTCTTTATCTATACTTGTTCCTTAAAGATCTCATCCTGTCTGGGGACTTTTATTTAAATATATATTTATTAACAAATCACATGTTTTAGTTTGCTTCAGCTCATCTTTGAACTCCAGACCTACATATCTAAATACCTAATCAATATTTCCCCTCAGATGCCTAATAGACATTTCATATTTAGCATGTTCACAGCCATACTCTTTATTTCACCACCCTCCAAAACCTGTTCAACCCAGTCTTTTGCTCCGTAATGAATGGAAACTCCAATCTACCAGTTTCTATGGTTCAGTCATCCTTGACTACTCTCTTTCATATGAAAGTCAGGTCTTTCAGCAAGTTCCTTTAGGTCTTCCTCTAAAATAGATCCAGAATCTTACCACTTTTTAAAGCCTTCATCATTGCCACTTCTGTACGAGCTCTCACCTTTTTTTCCATTATTATATTTTATGTAACACTCTTTGTTTTTGTTTAATTTAGTCTTCCCTGCAATCCAAATATGTCATACTTTTTACAGATCTAACTGCTTTCACACCTAGGAACATTCTGTCATTTCTTCACAAAGCAGCCAAAGTGTTCCTTTGCAAGTGTAAGTCATTTATTGTTATTTCTTTGCTCAAAACTCTCCTATACCTTATTTAATTTGGAGAAAATGTCAAGATCAAGATCCTTACTATAGTCCACAAGGTGCTTTGTGATATGAGACCCTAAAATCTTTTTGACCTGATATTTCTATATGTACTCTGTGTGTGTGCGTGTATGTGTGTATGTGTGTTTAAGAGGTGGTAAGATTATATTATTCAATATGCATACAATAATATATACTATATGCAATATATATAATATATGCTATGTACAATATACATATACTAATATATGTATACAATATAATACTGTGTGTATATTGTTTGTATACACATGTATATTGTATGTACTCTATGTATGTTGTATATATATTGACCTCACTATTCATATGTATATGAATATATGAATATGATACCTTTTTGATCTTAACATTCATATAGATATATGAATAGTTAGGTCAAGATATATCATTATAACTCTTTCCCCAGGCCTTTCTCTCTTTCTCCCCACTCCCTCTCTCTCAATCTCTCTCAATATCGAGGGCATCTACGTTGTTTCTCTATATTGAGAGAGAGAGAGAACAGGAGAGAGCATGTTTTCTGCTTGCTTTAGTCCCATCACATTTGTCCCCAGGACCTCAGGTTGTTCTCTGTGTAAGAATATTTCGCCCCCAAACATGAACGTGGTTTTCATTCTAACTTCCTTTGAATTTCTGATTAAGTGTCATCGTATAGAGAGACTTCACTGATTATCAGTCTAAATTTGTGACTACATTTCCCATCACTCTCTATCTTCTTACTTGATTTGCTTTTTCTCCATAGCACTTACCACCACTGGACATCTTTTGTATTTGCTTGTTTCCTTCTCTCACTAGAGTGTAAGTTCTGCAGAGCAGGGTCTTTGTTCTGTTCACTACTCTTTTCATAGCTCCAGAGTAGTAGCTATCTCTTAGTAGGTTCACGATAAATATAAATGAATGAATGAGTGAGTGAGTGAATGAATAAAGATATCTAGAAACCAGCTGGAAGTGCTGATATGGGTCTTTCAAAAAGTGTCAGAGAAATGAATCTGGAAGTTACTCATATAAAGTTGTTAAGTAAAACTGTGAAAAAGCTGAACTGACAAAGGAAACAGGAGACAAAAGAGAAACAGAGGAGAGGGGTCCAAATATAGAAACATAGAAAGTTGAATATCTCTAGATTTAGGGGAGATTCAATAAAGAACTCATGAAAGGATACA